CCATCTGTTGTTTCTGGACTTTTTAAGAATCACCATTCTAACTGGCATGAGATGATATCTCATTGTGGTTTTGATTTGCATTTCTCTAATGATCAGTGCTATTGAGCTTTTCTTTGTATGTTTGTTAGCCACATGAATGTCTTCTTTTGAGAAGTGTCTGTTCATGTCTTTTGCCCACATTTTAATGGGTTGTTTTTTTCTTGCTAATTTGTTAGGCTGAGGCGACCAGCCTGGGCAACATGGCAAAATCCCATCTTTACTAAAAGTACAAAAATTAGCTGGGCGTGATGGTGCATGCCTATAATCCCAGCTACTTGGGAGTCTGAGGCAGGAAAATTGCTTGAACCTGGGAGGCAGAGGTTGCAGTGAGCTGAGATTGCACCACTATACTCCAGGCTGGGCGACAGGGCAAGACTGTCTCAAACAACAACAAAAATTTGTTTAAGAACTACTACATATTAAGGTAAATACTAGATGCCTCTATAAACAGACTTGTTTCATTTGGTCAGTGATATTGCCATGGCCTTCACAGGATTGTAAATATCAACAAATATTTACTCAAGTTACACGTTCATTAGCTTTCTTAAGAAATAGACACTCAGTATTTACTTTTTCATTAAAAATGCATTTTTAAAACTTTACTTCTTCCGAGTTTATTACAAAATAGAGGTGTAATAAATACACTTTACTGAACAATGGAAAAGAACTTATACCATACAATAAGTGATAAAGCTTTTGCAGCAAGAACATGGGAACTACTCTCTACGTTGAACTTCATATCCCCTATTTTCTACACATATTTCATATACACGTATCTCTTATCACTTTCCACATTTCCCTCTGACTTCCCAAATGGGCAGCCTGATAGCTTTATGAATCTTGCAGAATACAGCATGGGCCATAGACACCTGGCTAGAACATGAAGGGCCAAGCCAGCAGAATCAGGACAGGTAGCGGAGGAGAAAACACAGCAGGATAAAAGAAAATACAAACACCACATTATGTGGTATTTACGGGTGTCCTAAAAAAAGCATGCCATCTTACTACAAGGGTGGAAACTTGAGAACAAAGCACAATTGTTGCCAATAATCCTATTATAAACCTACATTTAAATGGTGTGTGAAAGGCTACAGAATGTCTAACTGGAAGGAAAGAAAGTATTTCCTTTTATCTATGATTTTGCTATTTTAATTAAAGCATAAATGTGTTTCTTTTGCTCAAATCTGTTTACATTATAGCTTCTATTTTATATTGAGAATGTAAATATATCGGCAGATTTAAAAAAGCCTAATGACTAATTGCTATTTCCTAACATAAGTTGTAACATAATATTCATTTGATTCCAAATTTTCATAATGATTAAAACTTAAGAATAAATACATATGATTTCTTCATGTTAAAAGATCATTTCTTTTTTTTTTTTTTGAGACAGAATCTCGCCATGTCACCTAGGCTGAAGTGCAGTGGCACAATCTAGGGTCACTGCAACCTTCGCCTCTTAGGTTCAAGCGATTCTTCTACCTCAGCTTCCCAAGTAGCTGGGACTACAAGCATGAGCCACCATGCCTGGCTAATTTTTGTTTTTGTTTTTGTATTTTTAGTAGAGACAGAGTTTCACCATGTTGACCATGCTGGTCTTGAACTCCTGAGCTTAAGTGATCTGCCTGCCTCGGCCTTCCAAAGTGCTGATTATAGGCATGAGCCACTGCGCCTGGCCAAGATCTTTTTTTTTATATTAGTTGAGGGTTATAAAACAAAAGGTAGGGTTATACAACTAAAGGTTATTAAAAAGGTAGGAAAAAGTAAAGTCATTAAAGCACATAGAGGCTGACGATTGTGATTTTACAGAAATGTAAGTCATAATGGGAGTGAATATTACTAACTTCCTAGATATACCAACATACCAATGCTTACAGATGTTTTACTAATTCATGCTGTGTGTTAGACACTGTATTCTGTTTATGTAATAAATCCTCACTACAGCCTTATGGAATGGTATTATAATCTTCATATTACAGATGAGAAAATAAAGGGAGGTCCAGTTTTTCTGCTGAAGGCCATACAGTGAGGAAACGATGGTGGAGCTAGGATTTATACTTGGTCTGACTCTAAAGTCAGTAAGTGTTCTTAATTCCTACAGTAAAAAGGCATGAGATCTTCAAATCTGTCAATATTAAACAAGGGATTCATAGATCTCAACACTCCAACTTGTATTTATAATTAGAGCTCTTAGAAACCAAATTAATGAAGAAAATAAATGCTTTTATCTAGCCTGAATGTCCACCTCTAAAGTAGGTGCAATAAAGGGCTAATTATTAAAATTGGCCCCTGTATTAGCAAGACATATAGTTTCTGCTAGACTGAAACAGTATTAAGAGGTTGTGATGAAATAATATAAAACAGATGTTTTATTCTTTCCTCCAGATAGTTATCCTAAAAACAATTCACTGAAGAATTATCTAAAAATGATATAATATGAAAAAAAGTTTATCTCAGTAGTAAAGAAAGGTAAATTCAAGCAAACCTATCAAATGTGTAGAGTTTAAAAAACTGTAATAAAAATTATCTCCAGTAACAACAGAGGTTTTGGGAAGAGTGCACTGATGTCCATAGCCGATTTGGGGTGACCTGTTTTCATGTCTATTCTCCTTCCTCTGCCTTCTCCTGCTCCTAGGAGTGCACTGGATCCCATCCTTTCTCAGGGGCCTAGATATAGCAGATGAGCGAGTCTCCTCTCTCCTCTATCATGCCAAATTCCTCCTTTTCATTTGATCTCTTCTTTAGCAAGATCATTCTATATACAAAAAAAATTCTAATTTCTATCTTCAAAAAAAATCCCTGATTGATCCCCAATATCCCTTCTTTCAGTTATTGCTCCATTTCTATGCTCTGCTTATCAGCCAAACTGCTCAAGAGAATGCTCTAAACTAGTTGTCTTCAAGTTAGCCCCTCCCATTCTCTCAAGAGCCCCTCCAGGGAAACTGTCCTTGACTTCTGCAGTCACCAGGCCTCTTTGTACTTCACCAATGAGAAGCAGCTGACACAGTTGATCTTTCTTTCTTCTCTGGATTCTTACATTCCTACATCACTGGCTGTTCCTCTACCAGATGCTCACCTTCTAGAAGTCCAGGCATCTGAGTACTCCAAGGCTCAGTCCCCTTTCCCTTCCCTACTTACACTCATTCCCCGGGAGATTTCATGAAACTAAATGATCTCTATACTGGTGATGTTCAACGTCTCCCCTAAACTCCAGATTTGTATACTGATGTACTAACTTGACAACTTCACTTAGGGTCTAATAATAGTGTGCAATTTAACAGGTCCTCAACTGGAACTAGATCCCCCATCTGTCTTCCCCATCTCAGTAATGATAACTCCATCCTCTAGCTGTTCAAGCCAGAAGCTTAGAATGTTCTCTTTCTCAACAGTCCACATCCAATCCAACAATAAATCCTGTTGGCTCTATCTGCCAGATGTATATCTGACCTTCTCTCAACACCTCCTTAAATACCACCTTGGCCAGGCCACTGTCATTTCTTACCTGGATTATAACTAGAGTTGCAACAGTCTCCTAACAGTCTCTCTGTTTCCATTCTTCCCTCACTACAGTCTAAGAGGGATCCTTTCAAAAATAAGATTTATTCAGTTACCTGGTACCACAGAGAACCTTTAAAAAACAGGCACATACAAACAGTGGATCACTTTTGACAGTCAAAAGTGGATTGCTTTTCTTTTAAAAATGAAATCTTATAGTAAATGCTCCCTAAAGTGAAAATACATAAAAGTGGAGCTGGGAGTGCAACAGAAGTCCAATGGCCAACTCAGTACTTCCTCCCTCATGCCTACAGGGTGCTTTGGAGAACGTAAAGGGATTGAAAACCCACTGCTCTGGAACAACTTATGAAGCAATTTCAGTTTTCTTAAAGGTTTCAAAGAAACAGCATTCTTTAGGGATAAAAAAGCTTACAGTCTAGTCACACCTCAGTTTGTTCCAGCAACTTGTGTCTGCTGCACAGAGTCCTATTAAAAACCTTGGCAGAAAGGCTTAAAAATAAAAGTCACTGGCAGCAAACAACTATGAGATCTCAATCAACAACACAATTTCTTCTTTGGGGATGCTGTACTATGCTTTTATGCAAGTTATCCTGGTATTTTCTTTTGTTGATACTCATTCTCACTACTTTTCTACTATGACAAAATTTTTTAAACAATATTTTGTTCCTCCTGATTATAGGTTTGATATTGGGCCTATCTACTGCCTATCACTGTTAACAGAATGAAATGTTCTTACCTGGGAATTAAATGCACTCATTTTTTAAGGGAGAGAAGTATGCTCGGGGAATAGTAAACAAAACAAAAACAAGGAATAGTTCTAAAAAATAGTCTAAATACCATGGATCTCAGGAAAATATTATTTTGATTGGACTCCGTAGACTTGATTCCTAGGGTAATGCTTTCCCTCTACCTCGTGGGGCGACCAACTGTCCTAGTTTACTCCAGACGTTGCTGATTTTAGCATTGAAAGTCCTGGTTTAGCAAATTGGGATGGGTGATTAGCTTATTCCAGTACATCTCAGGGATACTGTCTAATTGAGACAAGAAAGTAAGATAATTCAGAACATTTCACATAGTTTATTCAAAAGAAATTCAAAGAGTTATTATTACACTGCTTTCTTTATTTGATGGCTATATTAGTTGATCACTGGTTCTGATATGAGAAATGGTTCAGATGTCACAAATCCTTTTTTTCTTTTTAAACAAACACATTTTAAGAAGTCATGCTTTAAATGGTTATGAAAACTACAGAATTGTCACTTCCCAATTATGAACCCCTTAAAAATAAAAAGGTTACACTATTAGAAGTATACCGAGTTTTAGTCCCACAGATACATTACAGGGTAAAACCAACCTTTACATAGTGAGTCTTGTTTTATATTATGATTCTAAATATATTTACATATGTTCACTTTTTCAATTGTTTTACATTTTTAGTATCTTACCTATAACAGAGACTTGAAGTAATTCGATTTTATCCTCGAGGCCTGCAGCTTTTAGATTGTCCCAAGTACCTAGTAACTGTGAGTCACTGACATCAGCACCTACATAATACACATCCTATGGAGAAAGAAATAATATTTTAAGCATAAATAAAATTATTGCATATTTTACGTAGTTAAGATAATCTATCTGCATTTTCTCAAATGACGAAAGTGAAATTAGTAGATTTTAAATTCAGGTTGAAACACATTTAGGGTATTCTTTTAAAATGATAATAGCAAAAAATGTAGTTTTTGTTAAAATTTTAAAAATCTGTTAATATTTTACAATGACAAATGTCTAAAAAATTTGAGGATTAGTATAATCTAGGTCATGACTAATGATTAGAATTCTGTCATATTTTCCTAAATTTATCATAGTATTTAAAGAAATAACATAGCAATTTAATCTTTCATAATCTATTTTGAGTATAGTGAATAATAACTTATATAATTAAAAATAATAATCCCCAAATAGACACTCTACTTTGTAAGTAATTGGTGACTATACTATATATACTGATTAAAGTAGATAAATTGCTTGCTTTACCAAACTTAGAACTTACTGGCCATTCTTTAGCAGCTTCCAAAAGTATTGTTCCAAGTCCACACATTGGATCTAAAACAAATGCACCAGCCTGTAGACAGAAATATGAATTTGGTATTATTAAGACTACCAGAGTAGGTATTACAAAAGAAAGCTGGCCGGGCACGGAGGCTCACGCCTGTAATCCCAGCACTTTGGGAGACTGAGGCAGGTGGATCACAAGGTCAGGAGTTTGAGACCAGCCTGACCAACATGGTGAAACCTCATCTCTACCAAAAATACAAAAATTAGCCAGGCATGGTGGTGCACGCCTATAGTCCCAGGTACTCGGGAGGCTGGGGCAGAAGAACTGCTTAAGCCTGGGAGGCGGAGGTTGTAGTGAGTCAAGATCACAGCACTACACCCTAGCCTGGGGGACAGAGCGAGACTCTGTCTCAAAAAAAAGAAAGAAATAAGAAAACTAAAACTTGAGGAATCAATATTTCAAGAGTAAAGATTACTTTTTACACTTTATTAAGAATTTCAGGTAGTTCAAGCCCTAATGCAGGAGTGTGTTCATCAGGTTTATAAATTAGGAAGGCAGCCATTATGGCCAAAGCATAGCGAGTAAGAAGGAAAAGGTAGTGAGAGCCCCAGAGAGGGAGCTAGGGGATTCTGTCAAGAGGGCTGGGTTATGCTGTGTGTTGTAACAACCCCCAAATCCTAGAGGTTTAAAACAAGAAGCTCACACTGCATGCCCACATTAGGGTACCTGGGGCCTCTGCTCGTCACTTTGGAACCCAAACTGATGAAGCAATCATCATCTTGAGTGCTGCCATCACCCTGGCAGAGGCAAAGAAAGCATGACAAATTGTCCACTGGCTCAGAAAGGTGCCACCTGGAAGTGAGGCACATTACTTCCACCAGCATTTAACTGGCTAAAGCATGTTAGTCACGTGGCAACACAGTGTCAAGGGGCTGGGAAAGTATAATCCTATATGTACCTGGGACAAGAATAGGAAATTTGGAGAAAAAACTACTTACTCCCACTGTGAAAATCACAGCATGCCAGATCTCATAGGTGGTGTGAGAATTCTGGTTCTATTTTGAAGGATGGGAAAGTACTGGAGGGTTTGAGGACAGGAGTCCCATGACATTACATTTTAAAGGGATCATTTTGGCTGTTCTGTAGAGGTCAGATCACAGAAGGATAAGAGTGCTGGACAGTCCAGTCAAGAGATGATGGTGGCTTAAGAGTGTTGCGGATGTGGTGAGAAATGGTGGGATTCTGGATATATTTTAAAATGTGAAGCCAAAAATGGAAGGGATGTGGAATGTTAATGAAAGACAACAGTCTGGAATGTCTAAAAATTTTGACTTGAGCAACTGGAAGAATGGAGTTGCCTGTTTCTGAAGTGGAAAGAGTTGGGGAGGAGACACTTTGGGGGAGACGAGTATAGTTCTGGCCTTGTTAATTTTGAGACACCCTGTAGACTTCCAAGTGTGAATGTCACGTGAGTCACTGGACATATGAGTCTACAGTTCAGGTAGAGGTTCAGGCTAGATAGGAATTTGGGAATAGTCAGTGTCAGTTAGCTTATAAATGATATTTAAAGCATCAGAACTGGATGTGATCATTTACAAAGCAAGAGAAGTTAAAAAACAGAAGCCTATGAATTGACCCCTGGAGATCTCTCAGGTGCAGATGTTTGGAAGAGGAAGATTAGCCACACACATTGAGAAGCAGCTCATTCTAATATAGGAGGAGAACCTGGAGTAGTGTTTCTGAAACAAAGTGAAGAAACTGGTTCAAGAAGGAGTGTGATCACAGTGTCGGAGTGACAGAAGGGTAAGTGAGATGAGCAGTTTCAGTGGAGTGTTGGTGATGAAAGCGCCATGGAAGCCGCTACAGGAGAGAATGGGAAGAAGGGAGGTAGAGACAGCCAATGGAGATAATTATTTTACAGACTTTCTCCACGAAGGGAAGCAGAGAAAGGGGTGGTGGCTGAAGGGACATATGCATTCAGGGGAGAGTTTTTATTTTTTTAAGTTGAAAGACATTTCAGCAGGTGTACATGCTGATGCGGATGACCCAGTAGAAGGAAAAATTCCTAAGTTTACAAGAGGGAATGAAATCCGGTACGCAGGTATTAGAGTTGAACAGGACAGTTCTCTTATTGTAATGACAATGGGACAGGGTATGTGGGCATAGATTTGGATATGTTGGTAGACTTGGTGAGGAGAACATGCGGAAGTTCTCTTCAGATTCTATTATTTAAGTCAAGAAGGAAGAGTTAAAAGTATGGGCAAGGAAATGACTATAATGATAAAAAAAAAATTTTTTTTTGAGACAGAATCTCGCTCTGTCACCCAAGCTGGAGTGCAATGGCACGATCTCAGCTCACTGCAGCCTCCACCTCCTGCGTTCAAGCAATTTTCCTGCCTCAGCCTCTTGAGTAGCTGGGATTACAGGCGCGCATCACCCTGCCTGGCTAATTTTTGTATTTTAGTAGAGAAGAGGTTTCACCATGTTGGTCAGGCTGGTCTCAAACTCCTGACCTTGTGATCCGCCCACCTCAGTGTCCCAAAATGTTGGGAACACAGGTGTGAGCCATTGTGCCCAGCTGATAGAACTTTTAAAAATCCAAGCTGTGAAGAATGGATGAACACAGGTGGTAAGCAACAGGGGTCAGGTTAAATGACTAGAGGTCCTTGTGGGTTTAAAGATTTGTGTTTGGGTCGCAAAGAAAGTGAACAGGAAAGAGAAGGTGGTTAAGAATAAGATTCCGGAAACTGAGATTTCTGGAAGGGCTACCCTTCTGAGTATGACAAGGTCTAGGATGTGACTACAGCAGATGAATAGGGAAGCTAAGAAACAAAGAGGCAGGTTACTGAATGGTTACAGAGACCAAAGAATCATGACAGGATAATGGCCTGTACTGTTATAGGAATGAGAGCTAGAGATTTGATGGGGGTGATCTGATGGCATGTGCTTCAAAGGCATTGTCAGGTTCTGGGCAGAAGGAAGAAAACCATTGTCTAGAAGGGGCAAGGAGGAGCAGGTAGGAACGTACCCCACTTCAGGCCCAGTGGTACTCAAGATAGGGGAGAAAAAAATCCACCACTTGATATGTCCACAGAGGAAGCAGAGTCCTCTGTGGACAGTCATTTCAGCCAGAGCCATATGGTACCTAATGGAAAGAAATAAAATGCTCTTCAGGAGATAGAAACCTTTCCCTGGTACTAAATTTTAAAGAGAATATCATATGACTCCCCCATGAAGGGGCAGTAAGGAGCAGAAGGACTAATTTAGTTTAAAATTGTTAATAGTATGAGAACTCATTTTTATTAGGATCTTAAATGTGCCGTACACTGTGCTCCTTCTCTTCCATGGTCTGTGTTCAATGACATAATCTGACCTCAAGTATCTTTAAGTGGCTTAACTTTACCTTAGAACCTTTTCTGGCCATGACACCTGTAGACACAGGCTGAGGTAGAGAAGTATTTCTGCATACTTATAACAACAATTAAAATTTATAGAACTTGATTTCCCTTATTATGATACAGGAAGGAGAACAGTTTATAGTAAAACATGGGTATAGTAAATACCCAGCATCCCATTCTTAAATTTCATTTTTAGTGGCACTGGCCTACCCAAGGCTGAGCTGTCTGTGTCTGCTCTGGGTACTATGCTCCAAAGAGGGAAAGGGATCAGGTTGGATACTGGGGTCACTTAGACTATGGGTCACCACACATTCCCTCCAAAAGAAACTCTACTGTGCCACTTCCCAGGTTCTTTAACAGACCTCCTTTGCCAGTGGTCACATTTAGAGAGACATTTCCTACTTTTTGTAGTCCCAGGGCAAATTCACAGTAAGAAAACGTTTTATTGAGCGTTATCTTTGGATATTTTTGATCATTTACCTTTGACTTTTCTGAAAAACATGTTTATATCAAAACAAAGGTAACATTTCAAATGTGTAGGTGATTATGTAAGTTTATATTTAAATACAAACGCTGGTGAAACCACTGGCAGTTTGGGAAAAAAAATTAACCACACCTCTTTCTTTATATGGAAAAAATCTGAACTAAAGATTTAAATCCAACAAAAAAAGAAAATCATGGGTTCTTGGTACCTGGTAATCTGAAAGAGGCTCCATCCTCCACTCTCAACTCTAAGCTATTTGTTTCTGCTGAGCCAAGTGATGCTCAGACCTGGAGGCAAGAGAAGACCTGGCACTAAGAGAAGCCCTAGGCTCCGTCACAGTCTCAGAAAAAGGAACTTGTACGGGGTCTCCCAGTTGTGGGTTCGGTAGCGATAGAGAACAGCAGTGGAAACTAGAGGGGAGAATTGGTATAATTAGGGAAGAGCTTAATCTTCAGAGATCTATGGACCCAAAGAGAGGTCAGTGAATAGAGATGTTTCCTCTAGGTGTATCAGCAGGACTGACAGATTCTCCTCACACTGCTGAGGCTGGGGTGCCAGAGATCCATTTGCCTTTCACCATTTATAGGATTCTGGCCATTTAAAATACTTAACAGTCACATTTTAGCCCTGGTGAGCTATAACAAAACACATAAACAAAAACCAATGGCACATCTAAAAAAAAAAAAAGAAGGAGGTCCCTCAGTAGTTTTAGAGTAAATAGGCAGAATAATCAGAACAACCTAGTGAAACAGAACTACTAATTAATGGAGGACACACATCAATATTGGAATAAAAGAAGAGCTTTCTGAGATATTCAAATGTGACACACATACCTTTCTGAAGCTAAAAAATGATGATTTTAAGCTAAAAATATAAATAAATTAAAATACAGCATGTTTCTGTGACTCTTGTTGTCATTAGGAAGATAATGTTCAAGAATAACTCAAAATGCAAGGCCAAAATACAAAGTGGTGGAAATCATGTCAAAGGGATAGGAGACTTGGAGGATAGAGCCCGGAAGCTTAACATGTTTATAACAGGAATTTCAGAAGTAGGAAAAAGAAAGAAGTTTAAAGTTAAATTCTCTAAATAGTTGAAGCAATAATTAAATAATGGAAGAAAGAATGCTTAGGCTGAAGAAGTCAAAATAAATAATAATTTTTATAATTATATATTCTAAATAGTAATTATAGTTATTAACTATAATTTTGGTAATAATAATCGTTATAATTATTATACCAAAATGGCAGCTAATACTTAGATACTATCTGTATGTTAGGCACTGTTCTAATCATTTTATTAATGCTAATTCATTTAATCTTGTTATGATCCCATGAGATATTACTACTCTTTTTATCTTGCAAATGAGAAACCGAGGCATAAAGATGTTAAATATCCTGCCCAAAGCTTCCCATCCAGTAAGTGGTGGCCAGAACGGGAATCCAGGAAGTAACTCACCAAGGTCTGGGCTAAATAGAAAAGACTTATACAGAAGCATATTCTGGTAACATTCCTGAGCTTTAAGATTAAAGAGAAACATCTTACAAGTTTCCAAAACGAAGAAAACAAGTAGTTACGAAGGAAAAGAAAAATCCCGCTGGCATGGTCTGCTAATCTGTGCCATCAGAAGTTAAATGACAATGAAATAGCATCTACAGACATCTGAGAGAAAAGACCTGCAATTCAGGAATCCTACACCCAGCCAAGTCAGATATACCCAGGATAACAGGAAGAAATTTGAAGATACAAAGGAATTCAGACAGTGTATCATTTAAATACCACATTTGAGGAAAACACCTAAGACAAGACTTTACCCAAGCAACAAGTAAACCAGAGCAGAGGCCTCAAACAGGGAAAGACAAAGAGAAGAACAGACATGGAAAAGAGCAACACACATTACAATATGTCTACGTGTGTGTATACAAAAATGTGTGTGTGTTACATGCAATTCTATCTAATGATTAAGAATAGGCTGTGTAATGTAAGTGCTAACAACTTTCAAAACACAAGAACATGCTCAAGGGACGTTCTGGTACATCATAAATAATTTAGCTTATCTAGTAGTTGGGGCTTGGGAGAGAAAGGTAAAAATGTTCAAAGGTATCACTGTAGGGAGAAGAGGAAGAAAACTACTCTAAAGCTCTCATCTTATGACAGGAAAGAAGGGGAAGTTGGGGAACGTTAGAGTGCCTTGGTAAAAACAGTGTGTCTTGGCAGAGGAAATAGTTGATTTTCTGTTTTAAATTAAGAATAGAGTTATATATGTTTGTTAATAGAGCTGCAACAAAGGATTTTAATGGAATAGAACAATGAAGCAAAATCTCTAACCTCAGGGAGAACAATGTAATGATTAGCAAGTAACTAGATCCAACTAGTGATAGTAAGAGAAGTAAACTGTGAGCAGTTATGAACAGAGTAAAAGTAGGAAGAATATATTCAAGTCTATCTGTCATAACGTTTACTGAATTCTCTCACTGAAAGAGAGACCATCAGAGGCGGGTAAAAATAGCTGGGTGTTTGTAAGAAAATATTTAAAGTTGGAAAAAAAAGCAATGGCAAAGAAATATTAGGCTGATGTAAACAAAAAGGAGTGAAAATATTAGTAAGACAGTGAGACTTAAATTTAAACTTAATCAAGATAGAGAGGATTTAAGTAACAAAAAGGCACAATTCACAATGATGTGTTGACAGTCATGAACATGTATATACCAAGCCACATGGCAGCTGAATAATTCAACAACTCACAAAAATGCAAAAACTTTAAGCAACACATACAATAATGTAATGAGATTTCAAAAAATTCTTTCAGAATGGAGCAGAGAAACACACAGTGAGTAAAAATAATGGAGAACATTTCTTCACTAAAAGATAAAATCATCTTCTGTCCATAGAACACTTACAAAAATTGACCAAGGTCTTGGTCACCCAGAAAAACTTAAAATTTAAGAATCAGAGGCTTTACAGGCCACATTTCCTAACTGTGACACAGGCCCAGCTTTTTCAGAGCCAAAATACTCTCAGAAGTTCAACAATATGTAAAAGCATTACTGCAGCAGTTTGTAGGTATAATGGCAAAAGAAAAGAAAGGAAATGAAAGAATAAGTGTTAAGAAAAAGCAAGTAACACAAATGTCCATCAATAAGAGACTGTGTAAGTTAATTATGAAAAGAACCTTGCCATTTACAGAGATAAAAACATTTTTCTTACCTTAATGTCAGCGAGAGATGCCATTGCCCACGCTATGGTAGATCGCAGTCCAGCTGTCTTGATGTAAGCTCTGCTGGCTAGAGGAACCCTACAAAGAAAAGAATCTGATCATAGATTATTACACATTAAACAACAAGATATAAAAATGGTTTACCTGTCCAAGTTTGAGAATCATTTAAACATACTCATCCAATGTACATGAGAGTATTCCCTAAGTTAGAGAATGTTTTTGTCTTATTACAAAAATACCTTCTTTAATGGGCAGCTTGTCTATCCAAGCGAGGGTAGAATTTCAGAAAGGTAAATTTTTAAACAACTGAAATTTAAACTCTCACATATTTAATGTATAAAAATGTAATTATACATGAGGAAAATCTTTCTTATACTTCCCTGTCTTCCCATACAGAGTAGACCTTTTTTTTGCTGTCTGAAGTCATGAAGGGGAATGTACTATTTTGTGATATGAATGTAGTATAGGAAGTAGAACTGAATGGATGCTAACCCTTAAAATCTGTTTGCTATAAAAAGTCCCTTTTGAAGGTTTGCTTTTTGGTTATTTGCATCTTTCCCAAAAGATGAAACGAAGCATGACATTGCATTGTCTAAAATAATTTACTGAATGATGGGCTAAAGGAGACATCTCCAAATGAGTTCACTGGTCTCCAACACGCATCACTTCACACTTTATCCTCCACCTCATCAATGCCACTATCACATCAATATTTCCAGATTTGATAGAAAATTTCAAAATGTCATATATTATTTCTATCCTTCCAATGCAATGAACAAGATAAATCTCCTTGGAAATTTCAACTTTCCAAGCTTTTCTAGTTCACTTTTACAATTTGTTGGTAAGATATGAAAATGTGATGTCAAGAATTTGTGCTGGTTTGTTTTGGGTCAGGCTTGTTCCAGAACCAAGAGGGGTCTTCTATGAACATTACATAAAGTCATGATGTTCTTCAAACCCTCCTTAAAGACGTTCAACAGAATTCTAGGTATTTTAATATTAAACACTTATTTCTTTCATTATTTTGTTTCTCATCTTTTTTTGATTTTAAGTTTATCCTGTTGTTGTATTTATTGCAAGCCTCTTAAAATCTTAGAACTAAATGACATATTCCTTTAAAATAAACAGTGTAATTGTATACTTATTATTATAACGAGGAAGTTCTACTTGGCAAACTCATGGGAGTTTGGCTTTTTAATAAGGTTTTTTCAAGAAATAACAATTCACATTGTAAACAGTACTGTATACATATATTTGGAATCAGGGATGTAAACTAGCCGGTGGAAAGGCTATAAAATATTTTGGTCAATAAATTTTGATTCTACAGGGTAAGTTTAGCAATTATCTTGCTATAAAACACATTAGTTTGCATTCTAGATACCAAAAAGGGAGATGCTGTATGAAAAACCAGCTTTGTCCATATACATGAAAAAATGCTCTTCTAAGCATTAGGAATTTATATGGAACCTTTCAAAGTTTTGACAACCATGTATATATTTTTGCTAATAGAAGTTTTTATGGGACATAATTCTCTATTTAATATTTGACAAAAGTGAATGTTCATGTTCTGCTTAAACCTGGGCACACTGATCTCATTACTTCAACAAAAGGGCCCCATTATATCAGTATAATAAAATTATTCAGAAGAAGGCATGTTCAGAAGTAAATTCCTTCAAAACAAAAATAATGCTCTACTTTCATTGAATCTAGCTAATGTACACGGTTCAAAAATAAATGTGGTTTTTGATCATCTTCTCCACATATATGCATTTCTTTTTCATTCTCTTATATACCTTGTATCACCAAGACAAAGACATCCTAATCTATACCTCTAGTCTAGACTCGTTACCTGAACCCAGATCTTTAACTATTATGTGGAAGATAAGTAGTGCAAAGTCAACAGGTATAAACTGAATACACTCTCCAGGATTTCATACACTGCTTCATTTTTTTGTGTCACTTACTATCCACAAATTGGGTACCATAATCTACATCTTCAGTCTAGACTTGTCACCTGAACTCTAGATCTGTAACTTCAAATATCTACTTGAATATCTTCAAATATCTACATTTTCACTGAATACACTGTTTTCTTTCCCTACATTTTATATCTCAAGTGACTAATACCAGTATTTACTAATTGTTCAAATCAGAAATCTGAAATTATTCTAGACTCCTTAACTATTTTTTTGAATTCAGGGCCATTTTCTTAACTCCAAGAGCTTAAATCTTCTCCTTCTCTCTTTTTATTTCTCTTTCATTAACAAATATAATTTTCTTGGTAATTTTTTAAAAATCACAAATCTGATCACATCACTCTTCTGCTTCAAATTCTTATTGCTTCTAAGATAAAATCCAAGCTGTTTAACATACTTATAAGGCATTTCATGGCTTACTTCTAATTTTCTACCACTCTCCCTATGCATTTCTCTGTCCCATCTACACTGAAACTACCTGCCATCCTCCATGTAAATCAAGCTTCCTTGTACCTTCTGCCTTTGCACAGAGATCCCTTGTCTATAATATCCTTTCCTTCTTTTGCCCCCTTGTGACATACCCTTTCTTATTGCTGTCAAGTTTCCTCTTAGGAACACTCCTTTATCTTTTTGCTTACAGATCCTCAGAGTTAGGTTCTCTTTCCTAACTCTAGTCAAGTCACATATCTGTGCTACCACTGGATTGAATTCCTTGAAATTAACACTCATCTTATTCGTCTTTGAACTTTGGGTGTCTAGCACAACACTTGGCATACAGTAAGTGTACAATTGATGCTTTGACCAAAATTAATTGAATTAATCTTACTCCAGCAAATGCTTCTCCCCTCCTCATAGTTGCTGAACTGTTTCAAAAATAAAACAGTTGAAATGTATTCAACACTTACTGTATCCTAGAAATAGTAGCAAAGATTTTCACACAGGTTATCTCATTTAATCCCAAGGACAAGGCTATAAAGTAGGTACTATTATATTCCTGATTTTGTAGCAGAGAAATATGATAATTTGCCCAAACTTGCAGAGTTACAATCATTTGTGGAGAAGACAGAATTTAAGTCCATAGTTCTTATCTGCTATGCCATACTGTACTAGGTGATGTGTACAGTGTGGCATCAGCTATGTGCACTTAATGCTTCATGGGGCTATTGATATCCAAATGGTTTTTTTCCTTTAAAGAAAGGACAGCTCAAATATGAACAATGTCTTTCAGAACTTAGAGACAAATTTTTATGTGATTCTCTACCTTCATGGCTGCTCTCTACTTTGTTTCATCATTTCTGACTTTCTTCTGTTGTTAGGGTCACCAGGTTGCAGTTTCTGATAGCCACTCTCACTTCTCATGTCCAAGCAAATTGTTCTTTTAGCCACCATTCATCACTGAGGTGGCTTCCTTCCTACACTGCGATAGTCAGGCTGACTAAACTCAGAGCATCTACTGGAACCTCGTTTCCAATCAATGCTCAGATTGTATCTTAAGATATGTATCTTAATTAAGATACGTACAAAATTAAGATATCTTAATTTTCAGATACATATCTTTTATTTGTAAACTTTAAGGTACATTATCAATTATTATTTGAAATGCCACAGCATAACATCTTGAATGTTTCTCGTAAGCATTAAAATAATTTTAAATCATCAAATACCTTTTAAAAACATTAATATACGGTTATATTAGTTAAATCAAGAGGACAAAATTTAGCATTTTTATATATAAAAATTGAAAAATGAGTTATTTTATTTGGTGTTAAGAATCTAAATACATTCACTCAGTACTTCTAGGGGTGAGATGCTCTCCTAAGTAAATTTTTTAAGTAATTAGGCTCATTTTTGGGAGGTCAAAGTATAAAAAAATTACTCTATAAATTTAAAAATACATATATTTCATATTTTGCTTGTTTTGCTAGTGCTTCCTACTTTTGTCTTGAAGACCGCCAAAAATTATACTTATTATAATTGCAGAAAAATGTCCATCTTTTAGTTTTCTCCACCCTTTCTGTCTTTAAAATTGTCATAGAATTTTAAAAGCCAGATAGGCAAAATTGTTCAAATTAAAGCCACTGGAGTAGGGCAGCCTAAAAACTTTTTAGGTATAGATACAGGGCTGTGAAAATCATTTAACAATAGAACTAGATATAATTTTCAGTATTAATCATGTAATCAGTAGATTACTGTGATCAAATATTTCACAGCTTTAACTGGTGGTCAGTTCAAATCACATCCACCAAGTTCCAGGAAAATACTTTATTGTCTTAAGCAAAGAATTAAAATGCTTTGCCTTTAAGCTTCTCTGTTATATCAATGCTTCATTCATGCTATAAATAAAAAATGTAAATAATTTAACAATCTGTCCTATGTGACAAACCTGAAGCTTAGAATATCTACCTGAACACAGGAATCCCCACCACAGAATAAATGTCATTTAGATGTATAAAGATCTGAAAGAACAAACACAGAAGTTAGAATGGAACAAGAAACGTTATTACCAAAGTACTGACAATTTGAAATTTCCATTTTAAATTTATATGACCTATGTTTTAAAAAGAAACTCCAAGGCCGCCTTCATCATATTTAGAAAAATGTTCTATAATCTTTTTTTCTTAAGCAGAAGTAAACTAAATTTTAAGTACATTTCATAGAAAAATTCTGAGGTCAATTTGTTATACAGGAGAATCATGTTATAAATAACTCAGAATCAATTTTTCTTACCGGAGGTTCTCGGAATTATAACCGGACCAGACTTTTCAGTATTCTGTGTTACAGAAGATTTCCTAAATCCACCCTAATTCTAACCTCAAATAGGATGAGAGGCCACACAGGGCTATCGGAGGCTGCAAATACTTTCAGGGTAACAGAAAACTTTGTTTAGGCCAAATGTATGGCAGTAAGGGTGTCTTTTCTCTACAAGTAAGTTTCTGTCTCTCTTCATTTTCTTTCTTCTATTAGGTCATGAAGAATATTTAAATGCCCCAAGTTATAATTAGTAGCCCACATAAATTTTAAAAGCTAGACTCTTTCACAGTTTCATAGTCTGATAAAGTTTACAGAATATTTTAAATGCTGTTTTGGACCTCAAGAACATTTGGTTCCTGATACTCTCACCCCAAGCAAGATAACTTTAAATATTAGCAACTTAATCAGAATTATCTCAATATTGATCAATTTCTTCAAGAAAAGACTTAATTGGAGTAATTCCATTTGGTCAATTTAATTACTTGATTAACTGATACATCACAACTAAACCTCCCAATTTTATATATAATGCATTTTAGCAAAATTATTTATTAGAATTCCATTGATAATTTGTTCTAAATATATGACACATTTACATATCAAATGTTATTAAGAATAGTTTTTCCCACTAAAAAATGTTTTCCTGTCAATTTTACAGAAGAAAATTTGTTGAGATTTGATTCTTCTGTCAATTTTATAGTCACAAATTTTACTGCATGTGATTTTTGTGTTGCTAATCTTGTTTTATGTTATTTCTATCCATAAAAGCTATTATTAATTGCATTAAATGGCTGATAGGAATTGAATTTGCTGTATTTATGAGATAATCTATGAGAAAAATAATTGAGACAACGAGATTGACTTGGGGAAATGGGGAAGAGAAAGCCAGAGAGGAGATGATTAAGAATTGGAAAGGTGGCCGGGCACGGTGGCTCATGCTTGTAATCCCAGCTCTTTGGGAGGCCGAGGCGGGTGGATCACGAGGTCAAGAGATCGAGACCATCCTGGTCAACATGGTGAAACCCCGTCTCTACTAAAACTACAAAAAATTAGCTGGGCATGGTGGCGCGTGCCTGTAATCCCAGCTACTCGGGAGGCTGAGGCAGGAGAATTGCCTGAACCCAGGAGGCGGAGGTTGCGGTGAGCCGAGATCGCGCCATTGCACTCCAGCCTGGGTAACAAGAGCGAAACTCCGTCTCCAAAAAAAAAAAAGAATTGGAAAGGTGCAGATAAGAGAAAGATACTCGCATGTCAAAACATTCTTGGGGTTAAAATATTTAGTATGACAAACAATAAAAAATAAATACCTGTTTTTTTTTTTAAGTGAAAAATGTCAGACAAAAGCAAATTTAACAATGAAACAACACATAATGTTCTGATTTATTTGTCCAGTTACTACTCCATTTAAACCTACATAACAAGTAATAAATAAATTTATGAATGTATGAATCATGAAAATGATTGGTTATATGTCAACTCTTTAAGATGGCTTTCAAAAAATAGCAAAGAATATTTTTGTTTCCCCACACAAATACTTGTTTGTTCCAATTAAAAATAGTGTAACGTTATTACATTAATTTTGAAAAATAAAAAGAAAAACATAATCCCCTAACCCTAACAAAGCTACTATTAACATACTATTGAATTTTGTGCAGAACTTTTGTTATTGTTATACATTTTTTTAATATTAGCTAAAATTTTTAAAATCGTAGATTGTGTATATTACAGAGACTATAGAGAACATTGCTGTCACCTCATAATAAATAAATGTTTTTTTCTTCAACTGTAACCAGACAACTCCACTGAAAACTACTAGCAAAACTATCTGTACTATTCTACCGTTTAAAAAATGGACTGCTGGACCCCTGTAGATATACTTTTTACAACTGTAAAATAAAATGGAAAAGTAGGATAAGAATACAGGGCACTGTCCTTAAAGAATTAGGTTACATGTATATAAAACAAAACAAATACTCATTACCTCTAATTTTGGATTCCTCAAATCTGCTTTCCATCCAAAGTGTTTCATAAGAGCAATTCCAATTACTTTTCCTACCTCCTGGAAAAGTAGCAAGTTAAAGAAAAGAAAACTAAAAATTTTTCATTAAGTGTAAATGTAAGCAAAACTAACTGAATAGCCTATAGGAAAATCAAGTCAGACTATCTGATGGTAATTTAGAGATCTGACATTAAAATCGTATGCTAAAGTATTTTCTATTTAAGGCAGAAAGGCTGCATTTTACCTGCCCTAGTCCCCAGTATACTCCATGGCATTAACATGTACTCATGGATAATCTCTATTCTTGTAATTTTAGGAATATGAAAGAACTAGATTATGATATAAATATGGTCATCTGGGTTTCAGGAAACAGATGCAAGCTGAAAGATTAACTATTCAGCTACTATAAGCCTCTATGTTTAAAAATTACCAGATTAGTATCATTAGATTCACCCTTTAGGGTCTGACTCATTTTAAGGTTGATAAAATATTCAGACCAATGCTCTTTAACATCACTGAACTTTGTAAGGGCCAAATGATGAGGTTTAGTGATGGCAACAGTTTGTGGTGTTCGCTCTTCTGTACATTGCTGAGACCTCACATGCATTTGCAGTCTAGGTCCTGGTGACAATCCCATGTACAGGACATGTGCAGAGTAGCCACTGAATAAGCGCAAAGCTGAACTGAAGAGAAACCCCAAAAGTTGAGGATTATGGAATCAGGATTTCCAAATACAAAGGACATCTGTAAATTTAAAGAAATTTTTAGGCAGAGAGTATAAGAAGGTCATACTTGGTATGGCATACCACTCCTCTTAAACATCTGAGGTCAAATTGAAATGTATTTTTAAAGAGATTTAATTCCATAAGAACTAATTGTCTGCCCAGTGATTTGTTCTGTGAGAGGTTTGCATCTCATTTTAAATCTAAAGAGAGAGTAATTAATCCTTTAAAAAAAATGGGGCCCCCAGGCCAGGTACGGTCACTCACGCCTATAATCCCAGCACTTTGGGAGGCCGAGGTGGGCG